AAAAGCCCCCATTATCCCTGTCCGATATGTAACTTCTGTGTCTAATCCGAGAACAAGTCGATGTCCCACCTTCAGCAATTCGTCGTCTCCGCATACTGCGGCGGGCTCAGGCCTGAGAGCTTAGAATTCGGATCTCTGGGTCCTGGGTTCAGGGCTTCTTTTGGGTTCTGGGCCTTCCGGCCTGGGAGGGCTGAGGGTTGAAATCACCAGGTTCAGATTCGAGGGCTTTCGCGGTGCTGTGCAGGAACAGTCTCCGGCTGAGGCTGTCAAAACTGTTTACATCCCCTGTGTCCGTGGATCCATGTCTCAAACTGATGCTAGCACTGGCAGAGGATGCCATCCAATTGAATTGGGGTTCTGCATGCTCGGGCGGTACCAGCAAATCGCCAGATTTCGAGAGCAGAATCAACAGTGAGTGAAGCAAGCCCCAATGTGGATTGCCCCCAACAGCTCCAGAGCTCCTTGCTGCACACTCGAGGTTCTCAAGAGCTTCCAAGTTCTAACATTGCGGAATGAGGTGAGGTCGAGTCTAAAATCTGCACATTCCTCCACAAAGACTGCCCGGCGCCTCTGCGAGGCCTCGGCCGGCTCTTCCGCTGCACCAAAAGCAGGCAAGCGTGTGGCCTGCAAAAGGCTGCCTACAATGCTACTTCGGAATAAAGGTGCTGAAACATGTTAGAAGATGTCACTGCAAACCAATATGGGGGGAACCATGACACTGACACAACCAACTACCAAACATGCGAAGTGCCCCTCACATAGCACCCTTGCAGGAGAACGATGCCTGCCGCACTTCTGGGGAGGGCCTGTGTGGCAGGAAAGCACCAACCCGGCGAGAGGACTGCTGCCTTGAAACTTGAGGCCTTGTCGCTGGTTTTTTCTCTCGCATGCTTTGTGGCTGGTGGAGGTCAGGGTTCGGGAGGTATCGCATTAAAACCGAACGGCGAAATGGCTTCTACCGCGTGTGAGTGTGAAAGTCAGCCGTCTCGGCAAGAAGAAGAACAGGCGCGCCTCGTTGTAGCCACAACGCTCGTCCGCCATGCCATGGGCGTGTTCTTCCCGGGGGCTCTACATTGGCCACAAAAGGGGGTATCGAGGGGTTTTGGCATGCCATATATTTCTTGGTGATGTGAAGCATTTCGCACGGCTGCCACCTCGATACATGGCTTAGGACCTTAAGTTCCTGCATTGTGCATCAACAACTTCCGACACTTAAACCAATCCGGAACGCATGAAACTTGAGCCCCAAGTCTTCAGACCTTCTCCGGCCCTGAGTCAGAGTCGGAAGTTTGGGGGGCAAAGTAGGAGGTATCTCCGGAAGCCGGTGGACCTCTCTGCCAACGACCTCAAAGATTACTTCGTCACCTCGGTGAACACCTACGCAGCCTACGCACGTCCTCCATCTCCAATGACAACCTGGCGCTTGGGCTTTAAATTGACATGGTGGGCGGCGGCGCAGGCGGGTAGCAATTAAGAAATGCGTGCTGCCGCGCGCGCGCGCGCGTGTGTGTGTGTGTGTTTGTGTTTGTGTTTGTGGAAAACCTGTTCCTAAGGAAATATTATCTCAGTTTGTGTGGTAACAGAAGTTGAATAATTCATTAAGATGGAGTCTTGCAGAATGCTACAATGCAGGCGGATGCCCCACACCTGAGGAGTGAGCATTTAACAAAGAGGCTCTTCAGAGTGTGCTGATGTGGTTCTCGGAGCTGGAACCACGTACCTGCTGTTGCTCTGGGCTCTGGCAGCCCCAAATGACGCTGCGGTAGGACGAAAGCTTGACCTCCTCCGGAACATTACGCTATAGTATAGTTTCAAAACGGGGTATAAAATACTCCGCTGGCCAGGCTGCGAAAGTCGAGCTTCTCAGCACTCCGCTACTCCGCAAGACATCTTCAAACAAGACCAGTTTGTCAACACTTTTGTCACTTTTGTCCTCCCTATGTACTGCACCCGGCCAGTGCAGCGTACCTGCGAGTTTGTTATGTGCATCAAGCTGCATCGTATGGCGAGGGCGAACCAAGAATCCCAATAATTAGAACTCATCACAAGAAGATGAGAGCTGAATGTCCTATTGGGCAGTTTACCCATGTGTGCGTGTGTGTGTGTGTCTCTGTGTGTGTGGCGCGTGCATCCGCCAGCACGAGTCTGGCCAAATATACCCCACGAGAATCACGTGCCAACATACGTACATACATACATGCATACTATAATACATACCTTTCGTTTCATTACATTGCATTAGATTGCACTACAACGCATTACCTTGCATTACCCACCTACCTACCTACCTGCCTGCCTGCCTGCCTGCCTGCCTACCTACCTACCTACCTACCTACCTACCTACCTACCTAGCGCATACGTGAGTACGTGCATACATTACAGTACGCGACCCTACACTACATTGCATGACATTACATTGCTCTACATTACAGTACGTTACATTGCATTGCACAAAATGCCAAAACATTCTGCAACTATCAGGGGTCACGAATCCCGCGCGCAACCTCCACCACATCAACATACATGTATACGCACGATATAACGCAGGCTGCAAGTTCTGTACTAGTGTATCGTCTGTCGGTCTGATGATGTGCATCTCTTCTCATTTTGCTAGAACGCGTTTATTGTTGCATCATGTGTCACAGCGCCCTGCAGTACGAGCGCTCTGCAGTACGGACCATCACAATTTTCCTTTTCTCGTGAAATATTATAGCAAAACAAGATCTCAGTCAACTGGGAAGGGAAATACAGAGTTGATAGGCCTCCCAACTTGGCAGTTGGGGGTCGGGGGTGCAGTTGGGGATCGTTGTAACTAGATTAACTAGATGTTCACTACCAACAATACTGCCGACCAACGCAGCAGGACATGAATACTCCTGATCAGGCCTTCTGCTCGGATTTCAGTCTTAGCTTAGGACATTCAAGAGGAATGCAAAAGAGTACGTGTGTTCTGTGGCCAGCGTGGAAGAAGCCTGGCCTTAAAGACTCGCCAAGCTCAGGCCTAAACGCTTTTAAAACCCAGAGCATCCACTGTAACCTACACCCGAGATGTTTTCTTGCGCCGCAGCAGATGTTGTCGAGAGAAACATTGTGTCTGCAGGGGCTCGCAAGCCAAAACTCCAGAGGCCTCAAACTGTTCCTATGAATCAAAGTTTTGCGGTGCCGTCTTCAGGCTCCACACTCAATCGAAACTGCTCGATTTCAACCGTACCAATAGTGTCAACTGTCATGACGACAAGTACTATCTCGATCGTCTATATTACTTATCAGGTACTGTACTCGAATAAAACAGCAACCGCACCAACACACCATCAATACTCGTCGTATGAGTCTAGGCCTGATCGTAGAGATTTGTAGGGTTTGGGTGCCGCTAGCCCCCGTGTTCCCTAACTACAACCTACACGCCTCAGCTCTTCTCTCATGAAACCAGCACATAGAAGAAGGCATGTGTGTCAGTGGGGCGCTGGTTCAGTGCTTCGTGCTGCAGAGCGTATCCTTCTCTGAAGCCCTGGTAATCTACTGAACATGCTGGGCGGACAGAACCTGGTAGCACACGTCCAGCTATGAAAGCATTGCAGACCCCAAGCCCACAGACTGCTTCACAGAAACACAAAACCCAACACTGCTCATGATTCCTACCTCCAGGGCGCACATGCCACTTCAAACGTGCACAAGCATGAACAGAGGGCACAAGCGGGCTCAGGCGGAGGTACCCAAACTCATCTGACATCTGCTTCCCGAGACATGTTGACGAGCTCTTATGTCACACTTGCGTGTTCATCTTAGCCTTCTAGCTCCAATCTCGGAATCTGAAGTCGGGTTTGATGCAGCCCGTTGACTGCTGAGACCAGCACTTGCAAACCCAAAGCGCCAGTTCCCGAAACTGGCGCCCCCAGCCTGCACCCTGAGCCCTCTAACTCCAACCGCTGCACCCGCAAGCAGTGTCCCTGGAGCCGCGCTGAAATGGGGACGCCATGGGAAGGAGCAGACACCCTGAACCTGAAGTCAACGCAATGAATTTCGGGCTGGACGCCTTCGGGTTTCGGGCCTGGCAAGGAAGCCTTTGCAACTTGGTAAGCTGGGTACCACCGCACGATTTGCCCTTGTGCATTTTCTACTTGGGGTCAACTTGTGCTATTTCAAGCTGGGGGACCCCAAGCTGGGTTTAGGGTATTTTGAAACTCGCCCTCGGACAAGCAAGGCAACTGTCACGATAGTCGGGCGACTAAGAGTTGAAGGTCGCTGTCCTGCATCCCTGCAATCCAGGAGCCCTGATGCCGAAATTTCAATGCTGCAACCTGCGTATGTGAGTAGAACTCACAGTGGGATCGAACACGACTTGCAGCATTCAGACTGATGGTTCTGAAGGTAAAGTGATAGGTATCCCTAAATAACTAATCACTCATGTCAGTCGCGCATGCTCGCTGTATGTTGCAGCAGGCTCTACCTCGAAAATGTGCTGTGTAAGCCCTACATGGACATGTGCACTGTTTCGAGGCTTCGAGGCTTAGGCCTTAGGCAGGACGAACTTGAGGATGCCCAATAAAGCATTTTGACGTCTCCACTCGGGCACTGAATACTGAACACTGGTCTGGGGATGTTCAGGATTTCCGCCACAGGCTGCAGTACCCTTGCAGCGGCCGGTACGCAACGTTTTGTCAGCTTAAGGGTTGTAGGGAGGTGGAGTTTTGAACTTTCTGGGCACGAGGACCCCTCCACAACTTAATGACAGAGCGCCCGCCACCTTATTCATAGCTGCCGTCATTGGCGTTGAGCATTTCCTTAGCTTGCTTCCGCCGGCATGTTGCAACTCAAGGCTACTGCTTTCTGGAGATGCATGTCGTGCTGACTCTTGGAAGGGGTGATGTGCAAGATGGAGAATGGATACAGCGGGAACAAGAACGTGCATGCATCACTCTGTGTGTGTGTGTACGTGTATATTTATGTTGATACATGCATAAGATGTGCATACCATGTAACAACTTAATCTATCAGATGGTAGTTAGTCTATATCATGCAACACAAACGATGCAAAACTTTTAATTGCAATGAGTATATATATATATATATGCACATGTGTGTGAGCGCGTGTGTCCGTGTGTATGCCTAAAAAACTGTAAACAGTAACAGAAACGCATTCGACTAACAACACTCTAAAGCAATAACAGAGGCGGAAACAAAACAACCATAATGATCGTAACAAGAACAACATCAATAGATCTTGTTTTATCAACAGATAACGCGAAATCATGAAGCAAACAAACCGGTAAACATTTCCATATGTAAGAATGTACAGTCTCATGGCATATGGTATAACATGACTGAGAACAACACAATGCTATATCACCGAACATTGCAAAAAACAGGGTTAATAGCATACAGACGCCATACACATGTCTCTCTAGACATATCCATGCATATATATATATATGCACCTTTCATGTATCTATACATATCTATGTATGGCACCAACCGAAAATTTAGAATGACACACAGGTTTGTATGATAACAAATTATGCATACTCACACAGTCATACGGTAGGGAGATATACAACTTGTAAGGATGTAGCAGTAAACGATACTGTAGCGTACTCTATGTGAGAAAGAGAGAGAGAGAGAGAGAGAGAGAGAGAGAGACAGAGAGAGAGAGAAATATATATATATATATACATATATATATATAAATACATACCTAAATACATACAGAGCAATGAATAACAGTTTGTACTCACACGGACTAAAACCTAACAGCATACAATTACAATGCAACACAAAGATGTTCACAGTAGAACAACAGAAGAAATACATGCATGTTGAAACAACACCTAACCTGACTATATATCTAGATGTATACATATACATATACATATATATATATACCGAGGTATGTGTACATGCATAATTACATGCACATGTATGTGGTATCACTTGGTGCTACAAAAAATGCCATCAAATACATATATATATAAGGTTCCCCCCCCCCAAAGATCTGCGCGTTTGGGCTTTCGTCGGAAAGAAGCCTCTTAAATATGACTCCACTA